TGATTTTCTTCCCAAAGTTTCCAACTGCAGGCCAGATAAACTAGAACATAGAAATCAAGTAGCTATATCAGCATCTGTGGTGGTTTTACCCTGTTGGGCACCTGCTGAACTCCACCACAACTGCTCTTTCTCCCCCCTTTCCCAAAAAAAAAAAAAAAAAAAAAAAAAGAGAGAGAGAGAGAGAGAGAAAAAAAAATAAAGTAAAATTGAAAGAAAAGAAAAAGAAAAAAAAAAAAGTTGAAAAAGTTATTTTATTCTCTGCTTCTCATCAACGAGCAACATTCAGCCATGTCCCAGGAAGCAGGGCCTCAATAACCAATAGGAGTTGTCTGGGAGGAGAGACGTCTTCATAACAAGAGCTCTCCCTCTCCTTCCCCTTTCCCACCTTTTATTGCTGGGTATGATATCATATGACATGGAATATCACTTTGGTTAGTTTAGGTCAGCTGATGTCTCCTCCCCACCTCTTTCCCACCCCCAGCTTTGGGGGGAAATAGCATTGCAGCAAGTCCTGATCCTCTACCAGCACAGTTGAGTCATAGACAAAACTTTGATGTGATACCAATGCTGCTCTAGCTACAAGTGCAGAGCACAACACTACATGGACCACTGCAGGGAAAGTTAACTCCATCTCAGCCAGAGCCAGTGCAGCATCTCTGGTATGGAACAAGAAAATCTTTACCTGTCATCAGGATTCCCACTTGTGACTTCACATTGTCTACGAACTCTGGATGCAAAGTTTACATTGTTAGATGTCTGCAAGGCCAGTGGTAGAGGATAGATACCAAAAGGTATTCTTTGTAATCAGCCGGAAATAAGTAGGCATCTTAGGGTGAAATCCACTTAACATGTTTTAAATGTTTATTTTAGGCTGATATAAGTAAAATCATAAAAAATCATTCAGGCACTGGGTTTTGGCCAACAAGTGGGTTGTCCTCTTTTATTTTGGAAGGCAATACATTAACTTGATTTCTCCAAAGCAAACCAGATATAAGTGGATCAAAAGTAGAAAATATATGACAGATATTTACCTCTAATAGAATTTAAAAATTTGGGTTTCATTCCTCCTCTGGCTTTTAATCATGGCAGGGTTATATTAATTGCCTAAATGATTTAGGACACGGATCTCTGGAAGAAATATCGCTCCATGATGAAAACTACCATCAATAAGTGAAAAATCCACTAAACACATTAAGAGAAAGAGAATATTTTAGGACTTAGTGTAAACCCTGACAGTTATGGAAAACAAACTACTCAGAATCTTTACATTCTTCACATTTTTCTGTTATAATATCATATGCTTCTCTAATCACAACAAGTGAAAAAATCTAATTAAATACAATTGAAAATTGCCCACCCATCTCTTTTTCTTAACCTTTCCCGAAAATTTGCAAGACCTTGCTGTTGGACAGCTGGGTATTTCACAGTCACTAAAGGTTCTGTAACATCCTGTCAGTAACCCTCTATAGAAAATGGAATAAATTCTCAGTAAGATGTACTTATTCCAGTCCTCAGGTTAAAGTCATATGCAGATTTTCCTTCAAGCCTGTTGGAAATTACTACTATCTCATAAGTGTGTTTATTGAATAGGGAACATTTATACTGAGTACTGAGTTCCTTGGAAGTTTCTCCTGATATAGCCTATAACTCTTTGTAAATCTCCCTGTAGTCTTCCTAACTCATTCCATAAAATAAAAAAGGTTGTTATGGGCCTGAAACTGTTAGCAACATAATATTACTGGGTAAGACTGAGGAAAAAAAAAATGAGTCTTAGTTATACTATCAAAATAAAATACTACAGCAAATTATTATGATATTGGAAAAAAAAAAACTTACCAAAGTAATTTTAAGGATTCTCCCTGACTTTTATGTTGTATCAGTTACCACAGATGGATAGAAACGTAGTCCTTTACCCTTAAAAAAAAAAAAAAAACTATCATTTCTTTGCTAGAAAGCAGTGATTTCTCTTCAGCTATTGCAACTTAACAGAAGTGCTCTTCAGCTCAGTCAAAATCCCTGCAAACTCAGTTCTTCTTAGTGCCCACTGAATTAGTGGATTCCCTGTGTCTTTTCTAAAAATAGTTCTTCAGGGTATTGGTAGCTGCAGTCTGTGCTATCTGCCCTTGGTTTCCCTCTGCTGAACCTGGAACCTGCTGCTACATGACTCAGTTTTCTTCACAGTGTATAGGGGAGAACGGAGGGTTGCTAAGAGCAAATGAACAACTCAGAGGAAGAGTATCAGAAACCGATGATGTATAAGAGTAATCCGTTGATATGTCCTCTCAGCTTTTGGCAACTATAGGTTTAGAAACTGCCTCCACTGAAGACAGATTGAGGAAAATCATATCTAATAGCTACATATATATATGAGTGTATATGTATGCAAACATATATATATGAGCCACATATATTTTTGGTTTCTTTAACACTTGTGATAAAAAGTTCTGTGTATTGTTTTGTCTGCTTCCTTCTACCTTACAATTCCAGTTTTTTTACTGGTTTTGTATTGTGAAAAATGGTGGAAGATGATTCCCCATCAGCTTCCTGTTCATAATTTTGTAGCCCTCTCTCATATATCTATTGCCTTTAATTTAATACTTCTTCTCTGAAATGAAATGTCTTAATCTATTTAATTTATCTTCACATAGAAAGCTGCTTCATATTTATTACCATAAGTCTTGTTCTTCTCTCTACATTTTCATGCTGTTATATATACTTTTTCAGAAGTTATACTAATCCCATTGGCAGTTTTTAAGGTGCAGATTCACCACTGATTTACAGAAAAACATATGGCTGTGTACTGAACTTCTGGTCTCTACTTCCTTTCTGACAGTTGGAAACCATCACAAGAACAGCATGCTGAGTAGGGTCTGCTTAGGACTTGCTGATAGGAAATATTCAGAACAAGGAGATGCCACCTCTCTTTGGGGTTTTACATACTCCAGATCAGGATTTAAAAATAAACAAACAAATAAAACCTCAACACCTTCTCATAAGGAATTCAAACCTCAAATCACAGGATAGTCCATGGCCTCATACTGAATATACTGCATTATATGCAAAGTATGCACTGGATCTGAGAGAGTTTTTGCTGGTCACAATTCAAACCATCCTTCTTGGCTCCAGAAGAGCACTCATGAAGGTGACTGCTTCCAGGTGTTTCTCCTCCCAGATGATGCCTCGACTGGCAGTGGAAGCGCCCAATCCTCTTCTGACTTGCTGGGTCCAAGAGGGCTTCTGGTAAGTAGAGCAATTTCAAAAGAAGGGGTAGAGTTTTCAAACTAGGTCAGTAACAGGGCACTGTCTTTGAAGATAAGAAATGTGGTTTTAAATTCACAGAGCTAAAGCACTAAACTATTGTTTTCTGCATGCTAGTTAAATGCTCCAACTAGTGAGCTGCTGAGAATTTTCCAGATTTGTTTAAAAAGGAGGTGAAGGGAAGGCAAAAGCAAGAACTTGCTTCAGTTTTAAAGTTATGTTATATCTATCTTATAGATATCTTAAGCTCAAATGTTAAGGTATCTATACGTTATTCTTCACTCCTGAAACTGTCAACTTAAAAAAACTAATTTTTGTAAATGCAGAAATAAAAATGGTAAATTATTCACTAGTGCTGTGACGTTATTTGAAGAAAAGAGAAGTAAGACATTCCTTTATGATTTTTCTGGTATGTATGGGTTTCTGTTACAGTATAGCAGCAATAAAAGAGGGGAGTTTTATCCAACCTGACAAATTGCAGTCTACTCACACTGAAAGACAAGAATCTTGTTTTAGCTTTCCTTTTTCCTTTGCTTTGTTGGTAAATTTTTCCTCTAGATATTGGAAATTAACAGGGCAAAAGGAAAGGTGGTCTTGAACTCATAAGAAATGAGACTTTGATCTTAAAGAAGTTAATCAGAGAGTAGGGAGTACACATATCACTAGGTCAGGGGAAGTGATGTCACACATAATGAGCAACAACGATACTTCTGAAAAAAAAAATAACTTCAAAAAATGCCTCGTAGATATTAAATCAAGGGGTATGTTTGCATGTTAACTGCCTCCAAGCGATCTTTTATATTAAACTGCTTTGACGTGCAAGACTTCCAGATCATTTACAGGGCAAGTGCTTAGGAAAATAGAGGCTTTCCAAGTGCCTGAAAAGATTGTCTGACTGATTGTCTGTCTACAGGTTTTCTTTTAAAGCTATTTTAAGTATATGATCCCATCCCAGCTATTTAACTCAGGAACCTGTCAATTACATGCTGCTTAATTGAACTCTCATATACTGTAGGATTGCAAGCCACAAAGCATATGAACAAAAATGTGAAGAAAGGGTTTTCTGCTGTGATTTCACTCTTCAAACCCAATTTGAAAAGGTCAGATTTCAGATTGCACAACCCAATTGAGACTTAGGGACTAAACTGGGACAATCAGAGACGCACACCAAAAAAAAAAAATATATATAAATATATATATAAATATATATATATATATTTATTTTTTTTCCTCTGTTGAAAGGCAAGAAGAGGTCTTTAATACCAGTTACTTGCTGAGGCTGATAGCAAGGGCTGTGGGTGGGGAGAGGACAATGAAAATTGAAAAGGGGAAACATATGAGTCAGTTTTTGTACTGCTGAGATAGTAAATGGATGACTGACTGTGTGACATCTCCTTCAGAGACACTTTGCAGTCCTGCTTACTGTTGTTTGATATTTTTCTTCAAAGAAAAAATATGGGATACAAAACAGATTTAGGGTCTAAATAAGGGAAAATACCATTCAAAGAGATTTTAAGAAAGGCTAGAAATAAACACTGTATTTCACAAAGGTTGGACTGTCATTCTGAGCTAAAAACCGCTGAGGTTAATTAAAAACCTTGATTTCAACAGGCTTTGTATCAGAACCTAAAACACAGTGTTTTACAGAAATGAGAATGGCAGTATCTATTTCAATATGCATTAAAAAAAAAAAAAAAAAAAAACTACTTATTTAATCAGCATACAAATGGATTTACATTCTCTCTCTGTTTATTGATTGATTGCAATAACAAGTGTGACCTCAGCTGGTGTAAATCCTTAGTACTCCATCAGCTTTGGGGGAGCAATGACAGTCTATATCAGCAGGGGGATCTGAAATAAAAAGGACGAGGGATTTTATACAGTATATGACCATCTACGCTCTTAAATAGTATGAAATAAGACTGAGTGAGCTCATATTAGCTGATGAGCAGTTATTTTAAGGAAGAAAAAACATCTAACGACATAAGCTCATGTAGCAGGTGGCTCACAATTATGACCCCCAAATGTTGTCAGAACTATGCCTGGCACCCTCTTTGATATTTAAGGGTAATTGAGTGTTAATTCCACTGACCTTATTTGCAGAACCTTTTCCATCCTGGGAGCATTAGAGACAGACAGGCAGCACACTTTACATAGCTGTCTACTGGATGTTTTTCTTTTTAGCAATTTTTTTCCTGAGGCATTTCAGTCATGTAACTTCAGCAATCAATTTTGGTCCAAAGCTGCATAGGTCTCAGTCACAGAGAAGCAAGTATTTGCATGCAAGCTTATTATTAAAGCACCAGGGAAAAGAGTGAGTCCACAAAAGCTTAAGAAATAGAAATCTGAGTTGAATCATCACAGTCAGCTAAATTACTGGCCCTATAATTAGCCTTTTTGGAGGTCTGTTAAATTCTTAATCCCTTTGCTGGATGTAATTGCTTTATTGAATCTAAATTAATCCAATGTTTTAAGAAATAATCATACAATTCTAATGGCAACATAAAATTCAAAAAAAAAAAAAAAAAAAAAGAAACTACTTTGTTTGAGACCTAATTTAGATTAGACTCACTAAAACAGCCTTGGGAATGGTATTTTGTGCAGAATTATGTTGGGGGAGGGGCAGAGTTGGGGGTGGTTAATATTTTATTTATACAGTGTATGCAGAGTAGTTGTATTTAAAAATTCACTAGACTTGGAGCACTCACTGCATATGGAGAGTTAGTCAGTGCCAAATCAGAACTGGATCCATGCCAGGACAGAAAGCCAGCAGTTAGACATCTGTAAAATTTTCGGTGAGATGGAAGACAAACCTTAAAACACTTCTGTTCATTATACATCCAAGCTATTTCCTAGCCATTCATCTAGATCTGAATTTCCAGACCAAAATCATTGTATCTAAAGATGGTCATTTACATATTTTGCAATGCACAGAAACTGTATTATATCCCAGAAGAACTAACTTAACCTGAACATATACCACTGAAATACCCATGGGTAATCAGGTCATATCTGACCCAGTCTAGGATAGAAGAAAAAATATATCATCCAGGTGTCTGGGAATTCCAACACAACCAGGAATTATCTCATTATCCTACAGCACTATCCTCATCAGATAAAGAGGATGGGGAGAAAGACATGGAACACAAGAAGGGGAGCAGATAAAAGGGAACTGGGGAGAAGAAAAAACATGTCGAGTCTTAATTGAGCTTCGAGAAGAAGCAGGTGGAGAAAAACATAGTTGGCTGGATTATGATTTATTCTCTCTAGTGATCTACGTTTGCTGTGGATTAAAATGTGCTCTTGTTTCTAATATATATTTTATACCCTGTCTATCCATTGTGAAGTCAAGGTGTTGGTCCTTGATTTTAAGATATTTAAGATATGGGCAAAGTATGATGCTTCTTCAGAACCCATCTCTTCAGACACTACTTTGTAAAGTCCAGAAAGCATTCTCCAAGTTGTGACTGTTGAGTGTACTCTGAGCCCCAGCTCAAGGAATATACTCCTCTAGTGTTTCACAATAAACACTTTAATGCATTACGCTTTATATAATCCTTTATATGCGTAATATGTAATCTTAATCCCCAATGCTTCACCAAGAAATCATGACTGAATGACAATGGAAATACAATTCTCTTTCTTTTTTCCCTTCCACCTATAAAATCAAGGAGACGTAGAAGGGAGTAGGAGTGTCCCAGCACAAAAAACAGGTAGCAAGGTAGATCACTGGTGACAAGTTTCCAAGGATTCATAAATGATGATAGTGGTTGACATATATTTTGCATTTTGATCACTATTTTTGGAATATTTTTCTACTTCTAAGAGAAAATTTAGATATTGCATTTGCATATACATTTAAAATTCTGTGTTTATATGCACACACATGCAGGATCATCTCTTTTACTATTCGTTTTCAGCTGTTGAGGTTACAGTGGTATGAATGAGTATTGAGAACTAGCCCTGATGAAAATGAAGGGGTGTTTGAAACTAGCCCAATGTACTTAAATGTCCCCCTTGGGGAAAAAATGTGTTATAAAGCGACATCTTTCAAATACAGGTCTTACAGTTGAAAACTGCCACTTCTACAGTGAAGCATGACAGCTGCTCAAAGCATACCATGACTCTACATGCTATTCTCTTCATTCAATTATGATATCCTCAGTAACTCTATACTTGTTGAGATTTTAGCCAAACATATTTTAATTTTTACACAGAGAATTTCATGATACATAGCTATGAAATGATAAATTTGATAAGACACTTTTTTTTTAATGAGATCATCAAATTCATATTTCTATAGACAAACAGGCAAAAGAACAATCAGGTTCATCTGGATAGCCGCCTCAAAGTTTACACATCTACTATATTTGCTGCCAATAGCATGTTGAGGTTTTTTTTTATTAGTCCTTCTCACTTTACATAAAATATATATATATAATAATTTAAAAAAAAAAAAAATCTCCAAATAAATAAGTTTCTGAAGAGCAACTTCAGGAAATTAGCAGTACTTTTCTGTATTATTTCAGTATTATTTTACAGAGAACCAAAGGTAAATAGAATGAACCTGATGGTTTTTATTTTAATATTTCTCCTTTAAGTATATCAGTTTTCATGTCTCATTTACATTCCTTCAAGTTCTTTTTTTAACAGCAAACACTTCTTGAAATCTTCACCTTTAGCTTCAGATGAGGAGCAAAACTTGCACTGCTTGTAGCCACCAACAGCTGTACCATACCAGCCACCTCTGCCTGGAGAAAACATAAGTGTTCTGGGAGACTAGTTTGGCCTGCTCATACATTTTTGAATGACCCAGTACTCAGGAAAGAAACAATAAATTAAAAATTAAAAAAAAAAAAAAAGCTACACAAATTAACACAGATTACTAAAGCCAAGTATAAAAAAGATATGAAAAACGTATCAAAATAAAAATCTATCGGTTCAAACACATAACCACGATTGAATCCAAAAAGTAAATAAAACATCATTACAAATCACTTTCAAGTACATCATTAACAAGAGAAAAATTAAAGAAGGTGATAGTTAACACCACAATTAATTGCAAGCAAATTAAAGTATTCAGTTTGAGGTAAGATTTGTGGAGGGAAATACTTTTTATTAGACTGTGTACTTTAATAGTGAAAAACATAGATAAACCTTTAGGAACAGACCTTCAGTTCCTAAGACAGATGCCTGTCCTTCTTTCCCAGCTATATCCATTGGTCTAATAAAAGAGATCACTTTTTCCCACAACCTTTCCTGTTTTACACTCTTAGGCTACCGTGATTACACTAATAACCACTATAACTTGAAAGCATGTTCAATACTTTATTTATTTACTTATTTGCCTCGAACTTTGCTTAAAAGAGCAGTTTTCATGTCATAGCCAATCCCAATAAAATCATAAATAGAAAGGTGTAATGGTAGAATCTACACAGATTACATAGTAGAGTTCAAAAAAAAAAAAAAAAAAAAAAAGAGAGAACAGAGCCTAACTTCAAATTACTAGAAAAATATCAGAATACATGTAAATAATGAAAAGATCTATTTGTGAGAATCTGGACTATAACCAGAATGTGAGTAAGAGCCAACATGAATTTTTCATTAATAAAACATATCAGGACAAACTTATTTCTCTCCATGGCAGATAAGCTGTAAGAATAGAGAAGAATAAATACTGTCATGTGTCTGGATTTTAGCTTTTGACTTCTCACAGGACATTCCCATAAAGTAGATTTGAGGTAGCTGGACAGTTATTTAGAACAGGAAACCCTATTCAAACAGAAGTTATCAATGTTTAATTTTCAAATGAGCAAAGATATATCAGGTCAGGTTCTGCAAGACTCTGCACAATATTTTTTAATGAACTGGTAGATAAATTAAAAAAAATAATAAATTTAAAAAAAAATTTTTTTGCTTTTGAAAATGACATTAAGCTAAAAAGGCTCCAAACCCTATGGAGCACAGAGTACACATCTGATTTGGTCTTATTTAACAGGAGAAATCTAAATTCAACTAAACAAATGGATTCACATGCATGTGAACACATGAAAAAAAAAAAAGATCTGCACAGACACAAACTGAAGAATCTGTCAAGACAAGCACAGTAAAGAAAAGAATCTAATAGTTGGAATGGATCACAAGCAAACAATATAATTGTATCATTGCATAAGAAGCAATGGGTTATTGATGGCTTAATGATGGGTTAAAGAAAATTAACATGTATGTAAAACTCACAAAATATTTCTTCCAATCTGCTCAGAGTTGGTAAATCCTCACGTGGAGCTCTGTGACCAATGCAGGTTATTGCACGTCAAGGAATACATCAACAATCTGGAGAAAGTTCCAAGAAAAGTAGAGTGATCTTTCAAAAAAGATGATCTAGCATGAGGCTTTGCAAGACGTGAGTTTGCTTAATCCAAGAGAGAGAAGACTAAGAAGTATTTGATAACATTTTTCAAATATTTAGGAATATTCTTTGTGAGAGAAGATAAAGAATTGTTTTCTACAACCTCTAAATATATACATATATATAATAAGGAAGAATGAAGTTAAAGGTGAAAGAAATTTTTCAGTGTGTAAGGCCAACTAAGCAATGACTAACAGACCTTTGCAGATTTTTCTGTTTGTCAGAAATTTCAAGGACGAGTTAACCAAACAACTATGAAGGTTGGTTTTCTATACTGATCCTTCATTGGATTTAGTGTATCTCATAAATATTACACAGAATGTGTTGTTATCAACCAATATGCAACTTTCTACCTTTGCTTTATTGCGTAGACAGTGGTGCTAAACATGTATGTCTATTAAGGGCATTATAACATGAATCAAGCATAAAAACTGAAAGCAAAATGATTGACATGTACAAGGATTCAAAATTCCTTTACCTAGTGCTAGTGAATACTGCAGAGGAATGGAAACTAGATATACATACACTATTCACAGATCTCTCACAGTAGACCTCTACCTTCTGTCCAGATATTAAATTGATATTAAATAGCTAAAAAAATAAATAAATAAAATAAAATAAATAAAATAAAATAAAATAAAATAAAATAAAATAAAATAAAATAAAATAAAATAAAATAAAATAAAAGTTTGGAGTTTAATTATTAAATACACCCACCAAATGTGAAAGCCTTTGTGAGTAGTTTATATTGCATTGGCTTCTAAGGTTACTGCATGCTCAACACTTTTCTGTTTCTTCTCATTAAAAAATAAATAAAATAAAATCAATTCCTGTATCCTGCAGCTCTTAGCTCTGTCATATCCATTATTTCGTGAATGTCAATTCTTTTCAATTTATTTCGCACTCTGAATTTATTGGTAGGTTATTATCTATGTAATGTTCTAGATATTTACATTATATCAGCATATTTATGGCCTTAATATATTTATCAGCCTACCATATAAAGGCAAACCCTTTAAGCGATCTGGATATGATACACCTCCAAGTTTCTCAGAGAGCTGAAATAATGAAAATTAGATCTTGGGCCATTAAGAGTGACCTCACTCACATAATTATCTCCATACATTCTCTACTTTTTTGTAGTCTCCAAAGCTTTGTCACTTCTTATCCGAATGTTTGTGAGATGAATAAAATAGAGATGCTTGATTAAACCTGTGATTTCCTTCATTGCCAGCTCTTGATAGTACTGTAATGGCAAAAGCATGCTGTTAGACTTCTCCATCTTTGTGGAGAAGTACTATCAAGACCAATTGAAATTCTGCACGTAGAAATGGCAGGATGAGCAAATCCAAGAATAGCTGGAAGCCAATGTTCTGAGATTGCCCAGAACTTCAACTGAAAATCTTTTGTTTCCACAAAACACTTTTCCTATTCTTGAAAAGAATGGGCAATAACAAGGCATACCTGCTATTAAAAATAGCTGATATTTTACCTGTTCCTGTTGCCATGTGCTCAAAAAACTCACAAGTCATTCACACAATCTCATTCACATTAGTAGATTTATACTAGAAGACTTCACAAGATCACACTTGTCACTATGGATACTTGTACTTGCCTTTGAACAAATCTGTCTATCTATGTCTCTTCTAAGATAAATGAGCTATTAGGGACTGTTTCCTAATAACATCTCCTCATAATATATTCTCCTTATATTTCTTCTCATAACATCTAGCATAATGAGAAAACAATATTTTAGAAAGTTGCTTTACCTCATTGACAGGATTTCTCCAAAATCAGTGTCATTAAAAAAAGCATATGAGAAAGGTTTTTGGTTATTTTTCAAAAGTTATTTTTGAAAACAAATACATAAACTTTTTGACAAGAAAGAGAGACCTTGTGGTGAGCGGTACAAAACCACAACCTACTGCTTCTCTGATCATTATTCTCTGTTCCCAGTTACTGGACCACATGCCAAAGCAGCTAAGATGACAGAGTCCAGGAAAAATTGTGTTGGAGCTTTGGAGCTGCCTCCAGGTCTGTCACTTCGTTAGGCTGCCCCTGTACTGCCTTGTCTTCTTTGTCATCCTGAATGCCATTTCCATTGCCTTCAACATACTCTCTTACAATTTGTTTCTACTTTATCCATTTGTGAATAATATCACATTCAAATCTTATATGCATACTATATGGCAGACCTTCAAGCACTGAGTGTGATTTATCTCAAACAGGAAGATGGATTTAACAAACACATGCCTTCTGCCTTGGAAACACACACCTGGAGCCTCTCTGCTGAAATGCAACCTGACTTGACCATACAACCAACCTGCTCGATTTTCAGTCTGAAGCCTTTGCAAAAATACACCGCACCCTTTTAGTGAAGTACCATTTCCTACTATAAATAAAATGTTCTTTTTTTCTAACTAGGTCCTGACTCCATGTGGAAAACTCGGACTTGGTTTCAGATTCCAAGTGCCTTGTTCAGCCCAGGAAAGTTTAGTCTGCTGTATTTAAAGCTGTAAGCAACTTAAGGACATCCAGAGTTGGATTTGGTTTGAATTTTGTATTCTACCATTGAGACAAAAATAGAATGGGGTTATGGAGGAGAAGACAGTCGGAATGTGTCTACACTGCTCAGGTGGACCATTATCCCAGCATATCCAGGCTGTACCTCCTGGGGGTATGCATAAACAGGAACCTGAGCCACAGATTTTATGTTATGCAGTATGCAGTATCTTCTACCACACAGGCTCCTCTTATTTTTCTGTATTATTAATATGCAGTGAGCCTACCATACACCCCTGCATAAGACAATAGATCTCATTGGAAAAAGGCTGTGGAGGAGGGGAAGAAACCAGGATCATGGCTGGATGGCCCTCCACACTGGTTCCCAGGTGCAAGTTCAGTGCCTGAACTTGCAAATAAACTGCACATAGAGGAAGGATAAGGTGATATAGAGAAGTTATTTGGCACAGTAACCCATTGCTGGATAAATTGCAGAGATGGCATCACTGGCAACCCAGACACTGAGTGCCTGCAAACCTGATGGTGAGGGCAGGCCCAGGTCCAGGTTTGAGGATCTCTGGAGCAGCAGTGACACAGCCCCTGCAGCTGCAGGGCATGCCCTGGAGATGTACTCAGGAACATAACTTCACTTCACAGGTGGTTTCTAGAGTGTCTCAAAGGGTACTGCAAGATCTGGGAGAGTGGTCAGTCAGAGCATTAAGCCTTGACAATGCTATAACGCACTGAGCTTTGATGCCCAGCTATCTTGCCAACCATCTCAGTCAACCCATTCATAAACCTGTTACAACATCCTGCAGAAATAACTGCTTGTCACCAAGAATAAGATCCTTCAGAGTAAAGCTGCAGTTAGCACTTACATGGTGTGCTTTGAGCAAGCCACTAGGCCTCCCTCTCCCCCTTTCCTTGCATAATCCTCTCAAAATGTTGCCCCACTGGGCATACAGGCACTGTGTACCAAAGGGGAAAAAGAAATGCCAGATAGGTGGGAAGGAGCAAGGAGAATGTCTAACCTGGCTTCCTACAATCTTGGCCTCAATTTCGATGTGTGGATTACAATACAATGTGATTGATGATCCATGGATCTAAAGACCAGCCTGTGTTCTCCCTTACTTGGGCACAGGACATATCCAGAAGGTTACAGGAGTGGTATTACATCTTTTAAAAACTCCGTTCAAGTAGGTCTGCACCATCCGTTGCCAGCTTGTGTTTCACAAGCACAGCCTTTCTCCAGCAACAAGCAACATTTAAGCCATAATTTCCTTAAGGACCATTTTTTTGCACTGAGAAGAAGACTCTGCCTTTTTAGGAATGCCATAAAATGCTATGACAGATTGAAAAATAGTTAACAATTTGCCTCTTCAAAAACATTAAGAATGCACATTAGGTGCATTCAGAAACGTCCTTCCTGACCCCATTATTATAAATGTTAAGAAATGTTTGTTCACTTTATTAACACATTAAGAGTTCGTATGAGTTAATCATCATTTTAATCATGTTTTTTCATAAAATGTATATCTCAGATTGTGTTTATTAAGTCTGGGTTTGGGGAGAGATTTTGCATTGCATTGAATGCAACTATATCACTTCTGCTGTGAGTGTGTTTCTTGCTGCTCAGCTATAAATAGTGCACAGCACACATGAAAAGAATCACGCTCCATTCTGAGGTGGGAAATTGCAGAAGAAAACTATTCTGGTAAACAAGCCCTTCCTGAAGGCTGTCAGAGTAATTGGCCTCAAGCACAACTCCCGGACTGCTCTACTGGCAAAGTTTCCTTGCTCCTCCCTACTACTAAAGCAGTGCTGTGTCAGGGAAGTCAGAGACTAGTAACACAGAAACCAAGAAGTCTTGGTGCTGGCCTTAGAGAAAAACAGCCAAAACTACACTCTTTAGCAAACCATCCCCTTGCTGTGGTTCAGATGTTCACTCCAGCTCCCATCTCAGCTGCAGATATCACCACCTCCCTCTGCTAGCACTCACCACAGACTCAGCAGCCACTCAGCTTTGTGTGGCAGATCTGACAAATGTGTTTCTCCATGCTAGAAATTACTGGGGGTGACATCTTTACATACTCCACATTGAAACACTTGTAGTGCTCCTTAGAAAGGCTTTACTTATATATCACATTTTCCTATACTGTCCACCAAGCCTATGGAGCACAAACTATCTTCTTCTGCACACTTCTTGGTTTAATTTGAACATCTTAAACAAGGTCGTTATACATGTCAAGACTGTTAAGTGTTCACACAAGATCATCCTGTTCCAGAGATTAGATGGAGTGCAGAAGGACTGATGCATTTAATTATTTGGTGGAAAGTATGTTTAAGGGATCACACACCTCTGCTCTGTTCACCATTCCCAGTAGCTGCATCGCAAAGTATTTAATAGTCTTCCCACCCCTTCCCCCCATCAATCACACACACAGTACTAACTGCAAATCTGCCGTGTATCCTGTGAAGTATCCGTGCCAGTAATCCTGGGAATTATTTCATTTTTTTGCTTTAAGCCACGTACATAAAATATTCCAGTTGGCATTGCTATTAGTAAACATAAAATGAAACTGATAGAAGTATTGTTCATCAGATATATTTAGGCTTCAGGCAAACACAATGGTACATATTCATAACCTCCCACTTGACAGTTTGCACAATCACTCTTCAGAGGTACTCACCCCTTTCCACTGACTCTATGAGGAATTCAGACTTCTAAATTTTGGTTGACCAGACTGTGTCTCAATCTGATATCTAAAACAGTGAGATGATCTTGCATCAGAACCAACATAAGTGTTTATCTCACCATAACCCCTTTGGCACATTCTTTTGACATATACAGTATTTGAGCAAGACCATGCAAAACAAATCTCCCATAAGTGTTCTGGCTGACAAAACTCAAAAGCTCAAACACCTCCAAAAGAAATCCAGCCCTGACTGAAATGAACTTGTTTATTTTATCATAGGTGACAGCACAGGAAATACTTTGCAGTCTTCGTGCTCACAGTTATGATGAGGCATCTAAAACAATAGAATCACTGGTCAACATATGTACCCATTACATGGTTAAAATCACATTTCACAGTACAGGTTTGGATTCCAAACTACTTCGGAGATACCCAGATCTTCACAAAGAGAACCTGTTTCGTAGTTATTGACATTTTGAATACACTATTTGTTTTCCTTCCTCTTTATAGTTGACAGTTACTGCTTAAGGACTTTGATATAGCCAACAACATGCCTGAGGGTATTTTTAAAAAGCAGTCTGGGGGGAGAAGGAAAAGAGTGAATATATAAAAATAATGCCTGATCTAAATTAGTACATTACATGTTCCCAGATGTTTCCTTCTTGAGACCTCATTTAGAACAACTGCATCAAGACACCTGTAGTTTCAGGTTTTCAGTTGCGACTAAATCTTTCCTCCTTTTTCATAAGCTGATCTCATATTTTCCAGTGTTCCCTTCACATCTTCTGTACAAACAAATAAAATATTCCCTTCCCAACCCCACCCCCTAAACACATGCACATGCATACACATATGCCACTCTTTGGTCTGCGTACAGTAGCTTGGCACCAAAAAGGTATGTGATTAAGTTTTAACAAGTGTCAAAGCCAAGTGTGGCTCACAGACACTTACCTGGAGATCAGAATGTGGTTTAGGTGTGTTCTGAAATTCAAATTAGCAAGTGTCATTCTTCCTGTCTTCTACCACACTTCAGGGAATGTTTGATCTGCAGAGGGAAAATGAAACACAGAAAGAGATAAACCCCCAAGTTGCAGGGTCTGATACTTCTCTCCTGGGCACTGCCACTGTCTCTGGGAGCAATTGTGTTTACACCTGGTTACACGGACAGATTGCAGGGCATCAATGTAGAGTACTACAGAATCAATACCCTCATAAATATTTAGGTCAAGAATTTCAGCACAATTTCAGTATAATTAACAATTCAAAGTACTACCACTGAAAATTTTGTTTGGCACCATTAGCTGGAAGTAAGCAGACATGCCTTTGTTAGTTTATGATGTAGTCTATCATTTGTAATACACTATCAATGCAAAAACAGTCCCTGAGAGGACTGATCAGAAATTTCATACTCTCTGTTTTTCTTCACTAAAGTATATGTTTCATAAAAGCTGTCATAGTCTCATGTTACTGTCATGTTGCTCAGAAATAAAAGACGGTACAAGGGGAGAAGGGAGATCTAACATCTGGTGACCTACATGGATTCTTTATTGTTAAAAATGCTAAATTTAGTTAGTTCCCATATGAGAAAAAAATTAAATAGATTGGTATACTGAAAATGCATTGTATACCTTGAGTTCAACATGAATTTTACACTACATGTAGTGGTCAGAATTAATGTATCCATGCTTACCTACAGCTACCCTTCACGCCTCTTTCTTACACAAGTGCAACAAACACAAATACAAGAAAGAGTTGTAAAATCTGACTGTAGGGTATAAAAAAGAATGACTTTTTATTTTGACCTTCATCCATTGTCCACCTGAATATTCCATTAATCTGCAGTTGAAAATTTGCAATATATATATATATATATATATTATTTTTTTTTAAATAGGAGGGTAGGGGGAGAAAAAGAAACTAAGTGTCAGGAAAATAGGAATTATCCAAGAAAAAATTTCTCTTATTCCTTGTGCTCAGTCAGCCCTGTACTATCAGTTGTCTTCTACCTTTGCAGTTTCTATGACAAGTTTGCATGCCCAAAGTTGAATGGCCTGTCCAACGTCACACTGAGAAGTGGGGCTGAATTCTAATCACACTGAGTGTATTGACTTTTTTGCATTTGTACATACTTTAAATACTGACTCCTTTCTCCTGCCATGGGAAAGAAAATAAAAGTGACATCTAGTTTTTTACTGAATTTTCTACTTTTATACTGACTTGTTGCAATTGGGATTGATCCTTTCCTGTATATATTTTATATATACATATATTATATATTTTTCTGTATTGATATAAGTAATGCAAGAAGTACAGAATGCAGGATAAGAAAAACTTGTAAAATTGAGATGCTGTAAAACCCTTATCTTTTCCACATGTTTTTCCTCCAACTCCCCCCTTTGTTTTCAGTCCCTTACCAAATTGCATGAGGACCAGCTGCACCTGCTGCACAGAGAAGTCAGTGGTCCAAGCCACTGTGTGGTGAAAGGGAGACTAAAATAAGCCCCAGAAGAGCTCACTCTTGATTGCATCTAATTCCTACTCACCATGCAGTGCAAGGCAAGGACGGAGGAATTAATACATTTGATACCATAAATGCCTTGAAGGAGGCCTCTTGTTGTTAATGATAGAGCCCACTTATATGTATAAAACAGGTACAATTCCTTATTCTTTTTAACAAAGAATCAAACTACCCCACACTGTGACTTGCTGAGCAGTTTTAAATGTACTTATGAGTACAGGATGTGCTGTGCTGTCTACCTTAAAATCTTTGCAGTCATCCTTTGAGTGCTGTTAATTTTAATGTGGCTATTTCTTGTAGAGGGGATGTAAGATCTGAGTGCTTTCTGAAAATGCAAGAGGATTTAAAAGGATGAAGGGTCCAGATCTGAAGACACTTTTCTCTTTATTTTACTTCTGTTCCTTGGTGTATTCAACAATCTATTCTTCTAGACTGATGCAATCAGTTCAGAAAGGTATCATGCAGCACACTTGAATTAGAGTGTAAAAAAGCAAAAAAGAAATCACTCTGTTCACGTTTCAAATATTTTTTTTTCCAAATACATGTATATACATATATATAAATGCCTTTATTATGGCTTTCTTGAAATATAGAAGTTAATAAAGAGAAAAACATTGAATAATTCATAACATTTTCTTTGTTTATCATGCAGGTCCTATCTTTCCACATAAACATATAAATCCAAACTGAATTCTATCAAATTACTAATATTAAAAATATAAATGCAGATTTTTTTTCACAAAGGAAAATAAATGTCTTGATAGTCAGCATTGCTAGGATTCCCATGACTTCATCTGGAAACAGACATTTGGGTTTGAACTGGCTTTCCTAGACTGTGCATAGTCAATGTAGACAACAGTGGGTATGTATATAAACAATGCAGATAAGTTGAAACCTCATCCTAAACAGAGATCTAAAATAAACTATCTGAATACATTCCCAAATAATCCACTTCTCCCACCGACAGTAAGGACAGCCTAGAATATACCAGCTTAGGTGTAGACACCTACCCCATATTTAACTAAATTCACAAGAGATTAAACACATCCATTGTGTCTAGTCTCCAACAAACCTTAAATAAACTAAACTTGATCAGCTGAACTATGACTACAGGAACTGTGCCACACAAATACATATCAATATCCCCAAACATTCCCGATATACTGTTGCCTTCAAGTAACTGTATGTAACTCCCATCCAAAAGTGCTCTCAAGGAAAACTCAACCAGATCCATTATAGGGTTTACATTGCAATAAAATACCCTCTAGTGTTGGCAGAGCTTTGACACCTTATGCAGAGAATGTCCTTTCTATAAAGTTTACTAATTTAGTTTGCAAGGCTGTGTTTAGAGGGATATTAAGCATTAACTAGCATGTTCTCCTCTATTTGTGGATTGTGATTGTAATTCTCTACACTGTGAGATGAGCACATAAATCCAAAAATAAAGCTCTATACAGTTTCCCAGTAGACAACTGCTTACTCATTTAAAATGTATGTTTGTTTAAAATTTTGCTCCCTGGGATGGCCTTATGAAATATACATTTCATTTTAGCAGGGATTCCCAAAGGAGTCAGCTGCCAAGCAGCCTTATTCTAGTTCCTTCAGCACAAACAATGTAAAGCAGGACACTAAATCTGCAATAGCAGACAACACTCAGGAATTAGAGTTTCAGCTCAATTTCTGCTGACAGTGCCTGAGGAGTACCTGGATCCAAACAATTCTGTTTGCACACTGATAATTCATTCTTAGCAATTTGTTATTTTACATTAATTATACACAAAGTTACACCTTTTTTTTCTCCACAGCAATGTCCTCAGATAAGTAGAACTTGGGGCAAAGAACATTTGTGTCAACATGGTCTTATGATCTCCACCACTGGTCAGAGTCAAATATCTATATACCAATGAAATTGTATGTTTAAAAATAAAAGATTTACTGAAGAATTTAATGTTTTGAATGAGTATAGTGTTTTATTGTATATTACAAATCCTTCAAAACCAATTTCACAACTTGTCAAAACAATAAAACTACTTTAAAAGGGTTTGGCTGAAATAAAGACCAGTAAAGTCATCGTCTACTGCTTGGTAGGAGCCCTGAAGACATTTATATCAGGACTCATTTGAAACTAAATCAGAAGGGATTCAGGCACCCCAGTCTACAAGTAACACCAGCCAGAAAAACTAACCTCTATGAAATGATACCAAGAAAACTGTTACAAATATATTGTTTTGCATCAAAACCTTTTACAGGGTAAATGTTTGGAAAGAATTTGGCTGAACTGGCAGACAGATCTGCTGTTCCTCTCACTCAGCAAATTAACATCTAGGTGAAAATATAAATGGCCTTAAAGAGAAAAAATGAGATAAACCCCAGAGAGAGTTTATGCTTTCTAGTGAGGAAAAAATAAATAAATAAATAAATATACACTCTGAAGGGGAAAAAAAAAAAAATGATGAAAACAAACAGCTGAAGAATATGAAAGGTAAGAAATTCTCTCCTCAGAGCTTTTATCCAGAAACTGATGGCAGAGGTGAACACTACCTTTTGGGGGTAGTAGCAAGTGGGCTGCTCACACAGCATTAGATGCAGGATGGAAGCCTGCTCACTCCTTCATCCCTGTCAGATTTGATGCACAGCTATCTATAGCAAAATGCATTAAAACTGTAAAATAAAAACATATATTAATGTTTTTTGTTGTATTGTTGTATTAACATTTAATTATATTTCAAAACATAATTTTAGATATTCTACAATTGGTCAAGGCTCATAGCGTGGGAAATATATACAGTATTATGTAAAAAAAAAAAAAAAAAAAAAAAAAAAGTGGTAGGTTAAAATAAGATAAGAAAATAGTTGAGAAATAAAATGGTTTCACTCAGTTGTAAATGATTTTTTTTTAAATGATAAGTTGCATCTCATTGTAGTTTAAATAAGTTGTTTACAGAAACTCTGAAGTCCTGAGAAAGTTGCCTGAGAATCATTTTACAGATTTGGTATATCATAGCACTGTTACATATAACAGTGCCCTTTTGTTTTAAACCATTATAAGGAACTTTTACACTCTTACACAAAACAAAGAGCTGAAGCAATATTAGACCCCATTCTCACCACATGTCATATTCAATTTCCTACACAGAAAAAGAGCTATATTAGCTATATAACCTCAGGCAAAAAAAAAAAAAAAAAAAAAAAAAAAAAAGAAACAGTCCCTCAAACATCACCAGAAAAGCAGGTAGATATTGTGCCAGCCTCCCATGGGGTGACAGCTCCCAGCGGTCCTTTCTTTTCCCAGGACAGGACAGCACACTGAAAAATCCATCCATCTACCAGTCTGAGTATTTATCATCTCAGTAAAATGATAAAGAGATTTTTAAAGGAATTTTTACCTTTACAACTGTGGAAAAAGATTTACAAGACTGAACTTTAGTTTTTTCATAAATACTCTTTCCTTACAAGTGTCTAGGTTACCTAATAAAAAACATTTCCCCTCAACTGCAACTATACATTCTTTTCCTCCAGCAAGGCCACAGTCTGACATGTATTAATATAATACATAATACAATAATATAATCACCATCAGAAACAGACCCTACCTTCTCCTTCCCCTTCTTGGCCCCCATGTCCAGCTCAGGCTATGCAAGTGTTACCACTGCTTATTTTCCCTAAATGTCAGCTCTGCAATCCCACTATATTCAGGGGGTGCAGAGCTGGCACCACCAGCAGAAGGAAGAAGCTACCAGAGCAGGGCTACCCTCTCCAACAGCCACCCTGCTTCAAATATCCCCCAGACTGCAGCTGTTTCCTGTAACACCATGTTATGGTTTCATGACCGTATTCCATAAGAGGCCTAAACAACTAGGGAACTGAGATTACAGTGCCATATACTAATTCCATTATAAAAATACAGGTGACAAAGGCTGTCACAATGGATTCATTTATAAGTTTATTAGATCTATAACTAACATTTCATTAAAGGAGCTGGGAATGGGGAAAATATTAAAAGAGCCATGTGCATAACTTTTTTAAGTAAACACATATATATTTACTGTAACTATGTATTTAATGTTTACTACAACCGCAGTGTTAATTCTTATATATATTAAAAAATAAAAATAAAAGGAAATAATCTGTACTACTAACACTTCTGCTTATCTTAATAGGTGTATAAACACTTAAAATAAATTTGCCCACTAAATAGCTGATAGAAAGAAAGAAAACAAAAAAAGTAAAAAAAAAAAAAAAAGGTTCTGCACTATGCTTCACCCCTATTAAGTTTTGCTGGATTGCTGAGTTACTCTTCATTACTGTTGTCTCTCAAAATATCACCTTCACTTCAGCTGTAAATAGTCCAGGAAAATAGTTCAAACCTTAAAGGGAAAATTCCAAAGGCAAGATTTTTTCCCCTCATAGCTGAGACCTTTCCCAAGGGAACAGACCACTTTTGGAGGCGTTAGTGCTTCATATTTGTAGCAATGGAAAAAAAAAGTATATAGAAATAATGGGTTGGCTGAGTATATTATGAAAGGATCGCTCCTATTAGGGGATTCAGGGCAAATAGGAGTCAAGACAAAACAAAGTTATGGTGAAAGGCTTGGAGAATTTGTAGTAGTTTCAATATCTTTGCTTCCATCTTCTAAATTGCCAATTGTCAAATGTCATTACTGGTCTGGCTGTTAGCTCTTTATTTGATTATACTGTAGCCGTCTTCCTGAAGCATGAGCATGTCCATGTATAAAATCATAAAATGTGCTTCTAAGTGCAGAAAGCATGAAAATGATAATTAATTTATTGCCTTTTTTATACATGGATAATATGCATCTACAATCTAACAACAAAATACTAATATGTTTGATTTTATTTGTCCTTAAAGAATTTGTGACTGCTTGTACTCCAGTAGTTACCAAGAGTTCTTCCACAGTTTTAATACTAATTTATGATGAAGCATACCAAATGAACCACAAGTTATTTAAGAAAATGAAATAAGGAAACTTTTGAGGTTTTAGCAGTCAAACAGACTGGAGAGAGTGTAGTCTGATGTAAATGAATAGATGGCTTCAATGAAAATGAAAGAGAAGAAAACTCCCTCCTGGGGTTCATTACGCCTCTTGAGCTGTTGGTAGTAAAGTTAATTTTTAAATGCTCTGAGGTGATTAAGAACTCAGGCATCACTCTAAATGTAAATAAGTCCTGTTTCATTTCCTTGCAGTTAACTGATTGCACCAGTCACCAGCTACTTAGCTTGCTGATGTGTTTGAGATCCATAGTCTAGTTCATAATTAACCCTCTTCATATGAAGTGAAAATGCTAAGAAGCCTAGTCTTGAATGTACATAACCAGGATATGACAAATTCACTCACAAGAGAAAAATAATGTTTATATTTGTAAATAAGAGGGCACTAGTTGAAATAAAATATCACAGAATGAAAATCAACATTAAAAATGAAAATTTGTTACCACAAACACTGATTTTAAAAATACAACAAAAATTGATACAGTTTTGAAATTTCAGCTTAAATAGACAAATTACTCATATTAATTTATGAAATTTATACACAGCTGGACCTCCTCTACCCTACCAGGTCTAGTAAACAGAAAATGTCAATAACTTATATATGATTATCACATACAGATGAAAAATCCCAGCTGGTAATCCATTCTTGTAATGCATATATACACACACTTCACATTTCACAGCAATAAACTTGTTCAAGACAGTGACTGGGACCTACAAAATCTGTATTCTCATTCCCAACTTGTCTCAAGATTGTTTCATGGTTATGTAAATGTTTCAGTAAAGAATATTGTTGTGCACTGGTTTGTAATTATCCAGCCTAGGACATGCTAAACTGTAAGCAATCAAAATCTCTCTGCTGGGCACTAATATACTGGGGCAATCAACAGTCACCTCTGAAAACACTGGTCTTAAAGTACCTTATACTTGCAAGGGGACAGCTACTTCTCCCTTTCTTAGAAGAATGAGGCTAAATTCAATCACAAGTCTGAAGTGTTTTAGTAATTCATTTCTAATAAATGTGCTTCATATCTGTCCTCCTTTAATTCATTCTTGTGATATAAGTTTAAAAAACATGCCTGTAAAAGCTGAATTCAGGACTTCTACACTTCCAAGCTTACAAATTAAATCAAATGACAACTAAACAGCACATTTTTCCTCACATATATCAGTCTGTCAGGAGTTTCCCACATCCCACCAAGTAGCTGGAGATCTGTAGATCTAATCTGTATATCTAATAATCCATCTAAATGGGCTGTAGATCCAATTTTCCTGTTTCTTCCCAAGGGTGACTGGTATGGAAGCCAAGAAGCTCTCAAGGGTGACACATTAATGGGTAACATCCTTCCCACTAAGATTCCCAAAGGTACCTGGTTACATGCCCCAGTCTTTGCAGTTCTGATACCACGGCAGAAGAAGTTGCATTTTCTCAAAAAATCAGTTTTAAACCATTCAGAAATTGTGAACCTACACCAGTGTATTCAGCTCTCTCCAGGACACAACAGATAGCCAATGCCACACACAGAAAACCTCTGCATCCTTTACTCATGTGATTTGTCCTAGCTAATAGGAGCCTGTGTACTCCATGTCAGTTGTTTCAACTGATTTAAGGTATAAATATAAACACCCAAAGGTTCCATATACATGCCACTGCAATGGTAGTACATATAATAAAGAGCAAAGCTATAGGTTTTGTTAACAATACAGATATGCAAGACAAAAGATGAAATATCACTGTTGTTCAAGTAATAGCCCAAAGCCCAAGAACTTTGGGTTCAGCTCCAAACTCATGTAGTGAAACACTCTTTTCACCTGGTGTCAAGTTTCTTTATGACCTACAAAGGCATCTGACATTTGTCAAAAAATGCTTTAAATAATGCAGATGCGTCAAGCCAATGGGCATCCTGCATTTTCACATCTGTATCACGTTTAGTCAAACCAGAGGTAAACTCACCCTTAAAATAAATAAATAAACAAATAAATAAATAAATCTTAAATTCCATTTATTCTCTTGAATACTAGAAGTATTGTAGGAGAAAAATGTGCACAAAATAAACATGAAATTTTCATAGGCTACCTTTAAAACAAAAAGCGAAAACATTTTACAGCTGTTGGGTATACCTTTGCCTTGCAGAGAAAAAGATTGTGCATCTAACCACAGCCAATCCAGAGCAACAAAGGGAAGTAAGCAGCCAGTGAACTAGCAAGAAACTCATAATTTCCCAGTGAATAACAAAAGAGTAAAGTCTTTATAAATAAACTCTGCAAAGATGCATTTATTCTTTTTCCAGCATTGATATTTAACGCTTTTAGCCCCATGTGGCTAAATGAGGAGGAAAGAGAAATTTCCTAAACTCGTTGAGATAAAGAATTCCTAAAACAGCTGTCAGTCTGGGCTTAACTGAGCACCAGCTATTTCTGCTCCTAGAACTTCATAAACGGTCAGTAAATTTGTTGAAATAACATCTACTCTACCCATTTTGGAAACAAGATCTTTTCAGTGACTATCTCCCAATTTCCATTCCCACACTGAAAAAAAGTTCTCCTCAACATTGTTTTCAGATTAAATATTTCATTATAGTTTTATCTTCCAAACTTTTAAAATTCAAATGAACAGCTGGGTTTCTATTACTTTCCTTCCAGAAAAGAAAACATAATGCAATAATATTTGGCTAATGAGTAAGTCTTTCACTACATTTTAACTTTTAGCTTTTACACACATTAGCAGCAGGACAATTTCTCTT